ATGTACATGGATATATATATATATGGTTGGCCAAAATTACATTTAGTTTTTTCCATAAAGTAAAAGACACATTTTTCATTTTTACCAATAACCTTATTGGATATTTCTAGTATGTTGGCTATCTCCCGCTATTGGTTTCTAGTAGGAAGAGGCCAGGGGTGCTGCTAAACACCTTCCAATGCATAAGGCAGCCCCACAGCAAAGAACTATTTGGCCTAAGTGTCAACAGTACCAAGAAACTTTGCAAACCACATTTGACACATTTGATCTGTCACAACAGCACCTTCTCCACATACTGCCCAAATCTTTTTTTTTTTTGCATTTCAATTGTGTTTTTACCTTTCTTGAAATAATAAAGCATAATATGATAAAATGTTGCGTATATTCTTCCAACTTCCATATTAAAATGGCTGCACAAAAATTCACCAATTTTAATAACTTTTTTAAATGCATGGTGATATGAGAGCTGTCACAAAACCATGTAACAAAATTCTTTCAAATGAAGTTAAAGACAACTAAGTGCCACTAGAGCCATCCTATGGAAAAAACTAAATGAACTTTTTGGTCAACCCAATATATATAGAGATATGTGTGTGTACAAGTATACACACGTATATACATATAAATATTTTTTCTGAACCATTTGTAGGTAAGTCACATACAGCACATTATACCACCTCTATCCCTAAATGTCTATTTCCCATCCTTAAATATGTCTATTCCCTAAGAACAGGGACATTGCCCTACACAACCACAGGGAGTTACTGACTTCGCCCCTGCATTCTTTTTTAAAATATTTTATTTATTTATTTTTAGAGAGAGGGGAAGGGAAGGAGAAAGAGTGGGAGAGAAACATCAATGTGTGGTTGCCTCTCTTGAGTCCCCTGCTGGGAACTGGCCTGCAACCCAGGCATGTGCCCTGACTGGGAATCGAACCGCGATACTCTGGTTCGCAGGACCGCACTCAATCCACTGAGCTACGCCAGCCAGGGCTCGCCCCTGCATTCTGATAGAATACTTCATCATGTCCTTTGACATCCCCCCCTGCCAACAGTACAATGTACCGTTAGGTACTGCATTTAGTTACAGGTCTCTTCATCCTCTTTTTATTTGGAAGATTTCCACAACCTTTCTTGTCTTTTATGATATTCACATTTTTAATAAATGCAGTCCAGCTCTTGTTTTTAGTGGAATGTTTACCATTATTTGCCTGATGTTTCCTTGTCATTGGATTAAATTAGATTTAGATTATACATTTTTAGCTGGCACACTGCATAGATTGTATTTTACTCAGGATATATCCATAAATCTCTCGTGTGTAAGGTTAATTCTTTTTTGTATGATGTTAATTTTGATCACCAGGTCAAGGTGTTGCCTGACTCCTCCACTGTACCATCACTGTTTAGTGTACAGTTACGTTTGTATCCTGATACTTTCACTGAACAGTGTAAAAGAATGGCAGAGACAGATAGTTTTCCCTCAGTATCTGGTCTCCAAGAGTTTGTCAGGGCAATTACCCATAACTGGGTAATTGTCAGGGCAGAGCTAACTGTATAAGCCATGTTTACAGAGACTCACCCGTGGTGCCACCACACTGTTGATCTGTGTCAGGGAGGTCTCAGACAAGGATCAATGGCTGCTGTCTGCCCTTCTATCCAGGAGGAAGCTGTTCACTAGCTGTCACTCTGATGCTAGCTAGACCCTTACATTCCTCCTCATGTGGCACTGGTGCCCTTCAAGCTGCTGTCCCTGTGCCGGAGCCCAGATGGAGTGAGTCTGTGTAGTTCTGCGTGCAGGGCCTTCCAAGAGGAGAGGCCTGAAAATCTCAGTTTTCTCTGCTGACCCAACCACAGCCAAAAGTCATGGAGATTTACATTCCTGGCACCGAAACCCTGGGTTTGTTAGGCTGGTGTGGAGCTGGGATCCCTTTTCCTGAGATATCCCTCTGTTTTATACCCACCACACATAGGCTTGGGACCTGCCCATTCCCCATCTCTGCCCCTCCTACCCATCTGGATGAATGTGGTTTATTTACTTCCTTAGTTCTCAGACATTGACACCGCCTGATTTTTCTGACAATTCTGAGTTATAGTTGTTCTATAGTTTAGTTGTCATTTTGCTGTGGTTGTGCTAGGAAGCGAGCTGTGTTTACCTATGCCTCCATCTTAGACTTTCTATTTATAGTCTTAAAATCACATTTCTTTTTAAAAATCTGCATTTAAAACAATTCAAAGAAAATTTAACTATGTAGCATATATGAAGGCAAAAATGGAGATGGCTGAAATTGGGGGTTGAAGTTTGTAAAACAGTGATGTAAGGAGAGAGATCAAGCCCACGAAGTTCACCTCTACTCCTGGTCACCTCCGGTGGAGTGTATTTGTTTTCCAGCGAGAACAGTATGGTTAGCTCGCATTACAGAATTTGGTACACTTGATGTTCCCAAGATTTCAAAGTGGTTGTGAAAACATTGCCCATTGGCTATAGTCTACCTGTAACTCCATTACTCTTTGAAGTCAGTCAGTAAGCCTGAAGCAGAGATAGTACAAAACAGGCAGTTTTCTTAAAGAAGAATTGACCTTTCACCTTTAGTTGACAGAAAGCAGTCATTATCACCTGTTACTTACCAGTGTAGTGCACACTCTATACTTTGCTCCAGTGCCCTTCACACAGCGCCGGGAGACGAGGGGCACGATCCCCTTCTAGAGACAGGGTTTGAAACAATGAACTTTTGCGTCTGGCACAAACAGCAGGCACGAAATAGGTGGCAGTTGTTATCAGTGTCATTAGCAAACTCAGGATTTAGTCTGAAGTCTGCTCAATTCAGACCCATGCTTTTTTTTTCAGATTTTATTTATTTTTAGACAGAGCAGGAGGGAGTAAGAGGGAGCAACACATCAATGTGTGGTTGCCTCTCGCTTGCTTCCCACTGGGACCTGGCCCACAACCCAGGCATGTGCCCTGACTGGGAATCAAACTGCCAACCCAACCCTTTGGTTCGCAGGCCCGCACTTAATCCATTGAGCCACACCAGCCAGGGCCAAGCCCCTGCTTTTGTATATCACCATGCTAGGCCTTTTACAATTGCAGAAAAAGAAAAGACAACTTAAAAATAACCCAAAACAAAGTTAAATCCGTATGTCATAGACTATGTTTGAGGTGTTATGAAGCAATGTTAGTCATTGCACCTTTAAGCTAATCTGAGATCTAACAGGCTGCTACGGCCGCCCTATTCTTCAGCTGTCAATCCCCATGCATACAGTTGCTGATTTAGTTCTATCATGTGTCAAAAAAGAACTCTTCAGAGGAAACATGTCTACTCTGATGATGACCGCTCTATTCCCAGTGTGTATCACAGTGAACAATATACAAGCTTAAATATTTGAATGGAAGAAAGTTTGCATAAAAATCAGTATTTCATATGCATGCTTTATTAATGTTTTCCTCAAGAAGCACAAATCAAAAAACAAACTCCATTATACACATACGATCCCAGCTATGTTCAAAAAGTAAGACTGAAGGAAATTTCTCAAATTTTTTTTGAGTGGTGGGATTGTATTTATGCTATTTTTCTTACATCTATGGAGGTGGAAAGAAAATAGGAGTAAAACCTACTAATGCCAAGTCTAAAAGGAATGAATGTAAACACACAGATGTTTATGATTACCATTTACATGACCTATCTGCTTTCATTCTCCTTACCCCTCTTCTACAAACTTGAATGAAGTTTGTGCAAGCAGACACTTAGGGACAGTACGCCCTTTCCCCAAATCTTTTCACAGAATTAGGATGTGTTAGATTGCATAAGAAATCCTCAGAACCAAGTATGGAGGCAGCTGGGAGAAGCAGCCTTCTGCTTGAGAAATAAGAAAAAGCAACCACCCCAAAAGGCGCACAGGGCAGGAGGGCACTCAAAAGGTATTCACTGGAAATAATTTTCTTAAACTAAAAGGTCATTTTGAAGTTGGAAGTGTAAGTGTTTATTTTGACCTTGAGTATTTATCTCATCTGTAAAACACAGAAAGGTCGCAAAATGACTTCATAAGGTCATTTTGAAAACAATGTGAAAAAATGCACTTATTTAGAACAATGCTCAGCAGACAATAAATGCTTAAGAAGTGACAGCCATCATTTTAGGTTTTATTCACATTTCACAATCTTTGCAGTAATTATTTTACCTTTTGGAGTAACTTCTCCAGTGTTTGCAAAGGACTCTAAAGACTCCTAGAGACTGCATCTAAGAAAAACGTGTATTTAAAAAGAATAATAGATGGCTAAAAACCATGAAAACAAACTTCAGGTTTGTTCTGAAGTTTGAAAAATGAAAATGTTTATTTCAGGTGTTAAAGTTTCATAGTTTGTTCAATATTTGTATGATTTAGCACTCTGAGCGGCCCCTGAATAATCCAGATGTCTACCACATAGACACGTGCATAATAACTACACTTCCTTGTACTTAACATGCTCAGATTTCTCTCCCATTTATCAGACGAGTAAAACATTAACCTTTCAAAGTTACACCTTTAAGGAGTCCACAAATTCCTATTTCTCCAAGTTTTCTAAAATAATTTTATTTTATTTATTTTTAGAGAGGGGAAAGGAGGGAGAGAGAGAGCACAACATCAATGTGCAAGAGATACATCAATCCGTTGCTCTTGCACACCTCCCCGACTGGAGACCAGGCCTACTGTCCAAGCACATGCCCTGACTGGGAATCGAACCAGCAACCCTTCAGTTCCCAGGCCAACATTCAACCCACTGAGCCACAGAAGCCAGAGCCAAGTTTTTGGGTTTTTTTTTTCAATTTCAAACCTTAAAAGAGGTAGCTGAAACTCCCAAGTCAAAAACCTTAATCTGCACTCACAATGTATACATATATGAAATCATCACGATGTTCACATTAGGTATCTTAAAAGTTTTGTCAATTATATCTCACAAAGCTGAAAAAATTAAAACCGCACACACACACACACAGCCTTAATCTGAACCAACAGAGACATACAGCAATGGAAGAGGATCTTTTATTCATCACTCTGAGCAAAAATACAGACTATATTTATTACTTCATTTTCCCATAAAGAGAATATACGTTGTATTTACTAGACATAAAAAATTAGTTGTCAGGATCTGCTTTTGGAGAATAATCAATAAGCTCCTTATCAATGGTTGGATATTGAAACCAGGGACCATCGCCTCTTGAACGCATTAATCTTCGTACTTCCAGCTCCTGTAACCTGTAACAAATGAAACAGCAACAATGTGATTCTAACATTTCCGATTACAAATTTAAACGAATTACCACCATTGAAAACAACCCCCAAGTGTCTCTTGCTTTATGTAAACTATAATGTCCTTCTGCAGATCCATGTGTAAGCATAAAAAGGATATATACCTACAAGCAAAATTTAGGACTTTTTTTAACGTTTCTTCAAGAGATTTACACTTTAGGTAGATATATGTAATATACTCAGAAGAGCAAATTACTTCATTTATACACATGGGACATTGTGGGACTCATTTCATCCTGCTTTTGGCTGCCACATGTTAGAAAACAGAACGTAGGTGGATGGGCATTTGAGGCCAGGACACCCAGACAACTTTCCCCAGGGGCAGCTCCATGCTGCCTTTTGGCTTAGGTAGTCTGGCCTGGGAGCGTGGCTCCCATTTGCAAAAAGGTGCAAGAGAAGAGGAGCATTTCATGGGCAAGGAATTTAAGGCTTATTTTTGACTTATATTAGCTTGTTTATTAGTTAGCTAACAAATATTATTTTTTGCTTTTTTTCCATCCTTACTCAAAGACATGCCTATTGATTTTAGAGAGAAAAGAAGGGAGGGAGACAGAGTGGGAGAGAAACATCGATTCAAGAGAGAAACAGACTGGCTGCCTTTTGTATGTGCCCTGATTGGGAACCGAATCCGAAACCCAGACATGTGCCCTGACTGGGAATTGAACCCATAATCCTCTGGTTCACAGGACGACACTCCAACCAAGCCAGGGTCAAATATTGTTTTTAGTCACCAAAACATTACTTAAATTGATAATCATTTCTCTCCTTCTGTCATCTGGGCAGACCACTTTCACCTGAACAGTGGTAATGCATTTCCTGTCTTTAATGCCTACTATCACAGCCGAATGCTGTGTCGAGTGCTAGGAATTAAACAATGAAGGTGCCTCCCTGGAGGAGCTCACATCTCCTTATTTACACCGGCCGCCCACCACCATGGGGACAGAAAACCTCTCAAGAGCAGGAATGGCATCACAATGAGCCCCGTCAACACCAGACAATCAACATTTGTAAAGAACAGAAGAAAGAAAAATCAGGATTAAGAAAAACATTCTCCAACTCTAAAATCTACTTACTCGTCCTCATCCTTCACAAACTGCATAATCTCTACATTATAAAGATAATTTCCTCTTTTATAGCCAAGCCTTTGTACGAACTACCACATATTCCTGAAACAGTCCCTCTCCATCAAACGTTTTACATTTTATAGACTACATATTAACTTTTTCATATGACTAGAAATTTATCACATTTAAATATTCACTTTAGTCATCTTAACCAGCTCACAAACCCCACCTAGGAAAGATTATATAACTTTGTGACTGTGGCTCTAAGAGAGCATATTTATCTTTTATTTTTATTTAAATATTCTTTTCCTTCTCCTCTTTAGAATATAATTACCCAAAACCCAAGTAATTAAAATGTTCATAAAAGAGAACTGGTTAAACAAATTTTAACCAGTGACCGTTTAAACTATATGGTTAACCTAACCCATACAGTGGACTAGTATGCACCTGAGGGAAATCAATATACAGTAACATGGAAAGAGATGATAGGTATGCTGTTAGGTTAAAAAAGCAAGGCAAGAAACGACTGCGTAGCATCTTCCCATTTCCTTAAAAAAAAAAAAAAAAGAATATATGTACACATGTGTAAGGTATTAAAAAATCGAGGATCAAATATAATAGTTATCTCTGGGGGAGTTAACTATGGGAGACAGTTCCTTTCTATTTTATATCTTCCTTGTGCTTCAGTTTTTCAAATACCTAAACATACACTTTTAAAAACTGAAGGTATCCCATCTTGCAGGCTCACAATAGCATCTTTCCTTTGGGGACAGAAGTCAGGGTTTTGTTTTTACTTTGTTTCATTTTGAAACTGTTTAGGATCTCTATACTCCTAAGAAAATCTGGGATCTGGTCTTTTAATTGGAATGCAAAGGTATAATACGTCTGCAGTCAAAACAGTCCAGTGTTACTAGGTATGAGCCACGTTGCTGTTCTGTGCTCTTAAATAGTTAATTTCAGTTCTATGGGGCAACTATATATGCATGTAATCGCATGTCTAGAAAATAAGCCAATCATGTTCTTTTAATTATTTAAATATGCTTAAATACTATCCCGATGTTTATGACCAACTAAGATTGAGAGAGGAGGAACAGAAAGCAGATGAACAGTAGTCGGGGGCCAAGAGTACGGGAGAGGGACTGACTAGAAGGAACAGGGAAGGGGCTCGCTTGGTGATCAAAGTGACCTTGACAGTGGCGGTTACACAGTTATACGCTTCTCTCAAAAATTCACCGAACTTACCACATAAACAAATGAAAGATAAAAACCACATGAGCATTATCACTAGATGCAGACGAAGCATTTGATAAAACCCAGCATCCACTTATGATAAAAACTCTCAGCAAAGTGAGAATGGAGAGAACATATTTCAATGTAACACAGGCCATATATAACAAACCTACAGCCAGCATCTTATTCAATGGGCAAAAACTACAATTGTTACCCGTAAGATTGGGAACAAGGCAGGGATGTCCACTTTTACCACTATTATTCCACACAGTACTGGAAGTTCTAGCCACAGTAATCAGACAAGAAGAAATAAAAGGCATCCAAATTGGAAAGGAAGAAATAAAATGGTCATTGTTTCTGGATGACATGTTACTGTACAAGAAGAATCCTAAAGATTCCACCAAAAAAAAACCTACTAGAACTGATAAATGAATTCAGTAAAGTAACAGGATACAAAATAAATATCCAGAAATCAGTTACATTTTTATATGTCAATAATGAACTAACAGAAAGGGAAATTAAGGAAACAGTACCATTTGCACTTGCTTCAAAAAGAATAAAATACCTAGGAGTAAATTTAACCAAGAATGTAAAAGACCTGTACTTGGAAAATTATAGGACACCAAAGAAAGAAACTGAAGAACATACAAATAAGGTGGAAGATTTTCTGTGTTCATGGATAGCAAGAATTAACATCATTAAAATGTCCACACTACCCAAAGCAATCTACAGATTCAATACGATTCCTATCAAGATACCAATGACTTATTTCATAGTACTAGAACAAATGTTCCAAAAACTTAGATGGAACCACAAAAGACCAGGAACAGCAACAGCGATCTTGAGAAAGAACAAAGTTGGAGGAATCACATTACCTAGTATCAAACTATACTATAAGGTCATACTAGTCAAAACAGCATGGTTCTGGCATAAAAACAGACAGATAGATCAATGAAACAGATTAGAGAGCCCAGAAATAAAACCATGCCTTTACAATCAATTAATATTTGACAAAGAAGGCAAAAGCATACACTGAGCTAAAGACAGTTTATTCAATAAATGGTGTTGGGAAAACTAGACAGATATGTGCAAAAAAAAATGAAACTATACCATTTTCTTATGCCACATACAAGAATAAATTCAAAATGGATTAAAAACTTAAATGTTAGACTCAAAACCATAAACATCCTAGAAGAAAACACTGTTAGTAAAATGTCAAATATTTCTCATAGTATTATTTTTTCTGATATATGTCCTTGAGCAAAGGAAACAAACTAAATAAATAAACAAAAAGGACTATATTAAACTAAAATTTTTTGCACAGCAAAGGAGACCATCAACAAAATGAAAGACAACCAATTGAATGGAAGAACATATTCTGATAAAGGGTAAATATCCAAAGACACTTTTAAAACTGAACAGCAAAAAACAAAAAACAAATCATCCAATTAATAAATGGGCAAGGGACCTGAATAGATGCTTCTCCAAAAGGGATGTACAGAGGGCCAATACACATATGAAAAGATGCTCAATGTTACTAATCACCAGAGAAATGCAAATTAAAACCACAATGAAATATCATCTCACAACTGTCAGAATGGCCATCATCAATACATCAACAAACAAGTGCTGGTGAGGATGTGGAGAAATGGGAACCCTCGTGCCCTGCTGCTGGGAACACAAACTGCTGCATCACTGTGGAAGCAGCATGAAGTTACCTCAAAAAATTAAAAAATGGAGCTGCCTTATGACCCAGAGATTCCACTTCTGGGAATTTATCTGAAGAAACCCAAAACACTAATTCAAAAGAAGATGTACACCTCCATGTTCACTGTAGCATTATTTACAATTGCCAAGATTTGGAAGCAGCCCCCATGTCCATTAGTAGATGGGTGGATAAAATAACTATGGGACATTTACACAATACAGTACTACTCAGCTGTAAAAAAAAAAAAGAAAGAAAGAAGAAAATTTTACCCTTTGTCACAGCATGGATGGATCTGGAGAACATTACGCTAAGTGAAATAAGCCAGTCAGAGAATGTCAAGTACCACATGTGACTTCACTCATATGTGGAATCCAATGAACGGACTGAACTAACAAACAAAATAGAGAGACTCATCGATGGAGAGCAGATGACAGCTCTCGAGGAGGGTGGGGGAGCTGAGGGACCCAGCAAAACAGAAAACCAGAGCTCATGGGGCAGGGATAACCGTGTGGTGATGCAGGGGACTGTGGGGGGTGCAAGTGGGCATGAGGGCAATAATTGGTAATGGAAAAAAATACAATTAAAAATAAATATATAAAACTCACTAAACTTAATGTGTATATTTGACAGTATGTAAACCTCATTCCAAACACCAAAATAAATCTCAGATGGGACCAAATTTAAAAGCAGCAAAAGGAAACATAAGTAACCATTAAAAATATAATTTTGAACTTACATATTTACTTAATTAGCTACTATCAGAGACCTATGCCTAACACAAAATCCTAGGAGCTAGAGAAAAAGACTGACAAAACTGACAATAATTAAATGAGTAAATACATATAAAGTAATTAAAGCAATGTTACACAGCAGTGTTCAAAACATATGAGCTACTACTAACATTTATCTGACACATAAAACACTTCTATGTTGCAAAATGTTCTATAAAGACAAGTAACAAGCCAGTAATACATATCTCCAAGAAAAATAAAAATTAACTTAATATACAAGTTAACTTGTATATTAAGTTAATAACTTAATCTACGATGAGTAGAAAAATGGGCATTATATAGAAAAAGAAATACAACAACCAACAGATGCGTGAAAAAATACTTAACCCTACAAACTGAAATGATAACATTTTTCAACTATTTCATTAAAAAAAATGTTTAAATTTGATAAATTCCATTACTGGGAAATGTATGGGAAACAGAAATTATCATGTCCTGCTGACAGAAAAGACAACTGGTGCAACGTTTTGAAAGAGTTTAGCAATACACACCTAAAATGTAAAACGTGTAATATTTGGCTTATCAATACCAACGCTAGAAATTTATATTCCAGATAAACTGAATACATGTGCAAAAATATACGCAGGAGATATTTACCACAGCATCTTGTATTATGTAAAAAAATTCTAAAAAAGCCCTGGCTGGTGTAGCTCAGCGGATTAAGTGCCAGCCTGTGAACCAAAGGGTCTGGGTGGCAGGCCAGGTCACCAACAGGGGGGTGTGCAAGAGGTAACCACATACTGAGGTTTCTCTGCCACTCTTTCTCCTTCCCTTCCCCTCTCTCTACAAATAAATAAATAATCTTAAAAAAAAAACTGGAAAGGACCTAAGTACTGACAATAAGAAACTGTTTAAAAAAGTAAGGGACACCCACCCAGTTAAATAAATGACGCAGCCATTAAAAAGAATGAGGTATATACTGTTACAGAAATATTACCAACATAGATGTAAGTGAAAGGAAGACATGGTGCGGAACAGTGTTTATAAGAGGATGCTATTATGTTCATGTATTTTTAATATGTAAAATATATTTTTTAATGTATAACATTTTTTCTAGGAATATATATAAGAAATCATTAAACAGTGGTCATCTATAAGGATAGACTGGGTACAGGAGGAAAAGATTGGGCAGGACAGGTGGGAGGAGAAGACTGCCTTGCTCTTAAGAGAATTAAAAAATAATACTTTTAATATGACAAATATGATCTCCTACTTGTTTCCCGGTCTCCAGCTCACACTCTCACTCTAAACAGGCTAATTCTCGCTCATCTTCATTCTTTTTCAAAGAGTAGCCTACATATGTAGTGTTGAAATAGTCTTACTGACCACAGTGAAGGATTTTCTTCCCTCACCCACTGCCCCCCCCCTTCACTTTTACCGTAAGTCAGCCTTCTCAGCTTCAATCTGAAGGATAGCCATTGTTCGTTCATAATTCTTTTCAGGACTATCATAGAATGTTCGGGCAATCCATCTTGATATAGGATGCTACAAGAGAAAAATTGTGTAAAATTAATTTCTGACAAGCATTTTGTTTTTCCATCTTATTATTCTTTAAAATGACAAGCTCAGGCAAACCGTAACACGTACAATGTGCCAACTACTTTACACCTATTTTAAATAATTTTACCTCATTCGGTAGATACTATTTTTGTGCCTATTTTATAGATGAGCAAATTGCACAAAAGTATAAAGTTACTAAATGGCACACCTGGAATCAAACCAGTCCATCTGACTCCAAAATCTGGGCTGAGAATCTAAAGTGTCTGATGTGGGAGCCAAATGCAGGGTCTAGTGATCCAAAACCTGGAGCTCTTTCTACCAATTAGGAAAACATAAACTAAAAGCATGGCTTATTTTAAGATTTAATAATGAAGTACTTCTTCCCTAAATATAATTCATTCAGATAATAAAACAGGATATAAGAGGTCTGACCAGAAGGTATCCAGCCATGTGATATGAAAAAGAGACATTTATTGAAGAAGATACAAGTTATAAGAAACATTGTATTTAGGACAATGATGGCACAGTCACCTTCAAAGTAGGCACCCTGGGACCTCACAGAGTGCTCCCAATTACCATCAGCTCCCCCATCATCTTTTTCTGAATCTCATCGATGGTCTGACATCTCTTCCTTTTCAAAGGTGATTTTAGTTTTCAGAAAAGCCAGAAGTCGCAGGGTGCCAAATCTGGGCTGTAGCGGGGCTGAGTCACCTGGGTGATTTGATGTTTCACCAAAAACTCAGCATGAGCGGATATGTTTTTATGATGAACCTGCCAATCACCAGTTGCCCATACCTGCGTCCTTCTGAATCATCCCAATAGTTTCGGTGGAGTAATGCTCAAGCTTAATGCAAAATTTGATGTAGATTCAAAGCTCTACTTGCTCAGTCATATTGAATGCGACAGCCACACAGTATACACGGTCACTTAACAATGTCTACCGCCCCCAATGACTAGTACAGTGAAGTTGTCACTGTTCACACATGTACATTCCAGTCCACTCTCCTTGGCTACCAGGTTACATTCATGTCCCACAAACCATTCTTGTTATATTAACACTGGCTGGACTTTTTCTGGACAAAACTCATACTCTAATAAGGCCACTCATTATAACACTTGTAAAGACAAGTAATAGAATTAATTTTGGGTTTTAGTAATAGTGATAGTATGATAAAATGACTAATTAACAGTGTAGGCTCTGGAGCCAAGACTACCTGGGTTCAAAAAGTGGCTCTATCTCTCGAACAAGTTACTTATTCTCTTTTAAGCTTCAAGTTTCTTCATCTCTAAAGTGGGAATGATAACAGTACCTTTTACATGGAATGAGATATTTGCAAAACACCACAGCGCCTGCCTCACAACAGGTGCTCGATAAATGACAGCTAGTACTAGTACTGCTACAAATCTTTCCTGTGGCATCGAATTTGGGATAAGTTATACTTATCCCAGTAACAGTGGCACCTGTTATTCTGCTAGTTTGAGACACATTGCAGTTGTCATTTTAAAAAAATGATAAAGTGCCCCGGCTGGTGTGGCTCAGTGGGTTGAGCGCCAACCTGCCAACGGAAAGGTTGCTGGTTCAATTCCTGGTCAGGGCACATCCCTGGGTTGTGGGCCAGGTCCCCAGTTTGGGGCATACAAGAGGCAACAGATTGATGTCTTCCTTCCTTCCTTCCTTCCTTCCTTCCTTCCTTCCTTCCTTCCTTCCTTCCTTCCTTCCTTCCTTCCTTCCTCCCTCCCTCCCTCCCTCCCTCCCTTCCTTCCTCCCTCCCCCCCTCCCTCCCTCCCTCTCTCTCTAAAAATTAAATAAAACCTAAAAAAAACCCCCATAAAGCTTAAAATAATAAAATGCAGAAAATTACCAAAAGAAGCTACTTATAAAAAGTGAGTACAAAGTGTAGTCATCTAATTGACATCAAAACTGAATATAAAACTGTATCTTAATTGCTGAATTAAGACATTAAAAGTACAGTGATAAGACACCTAACGGAAAGTAACTTCTGGTGAGTTATGCCGACCTTGTAATACTCCCAGTGTTCTGGTACATAGCCTTCGGGAATTTCTGCTAACTCAGCTTCACCTGACGAGAGAAAACAGTGATGTTCAACGTCAGCATCAGTAGTGTATAATGTTAAATCTTCACTATTTAAGTAAGAAATCAGCTTCTTGTGGTTTTAAAGTGACCTTTTATTTGTACTGACAAAGATATCTAATATTTTAAATTCATTTCAATCTGGTTAACAATTTCATTGATTAGATATATTTTAGACGTCTTCTACATGTAAGGCACTGTCTGTAGAATTATACGAGTTTCTCATTGTTCTTATATAGTATAACAAGATACAATAAAAGATATATTATTCCTTCTGGTTCTCTTTATACTAACTAGACAAAACATTTTGGAATTCAAGATGTTAGAAGTACTTTGAGAAAAAGAAAAAGCCCTTTAAATAGAATTTCCTATAAAAATCCAATGTTTACTGTCATTCACAATTCCCCTTTTTTAAGGAGATTATAACTTTATGTGTTCTAAGATGGCTAAAAACACTGTCATCCCCAGCCTCTCTTCCACCTCTCTCTATTTTCCTCATTGTCTTGTCAAAGCTCGGTTTGCAAAGTGAAAGCAAGGCTTTTGGAAATCTTTCATGTGGCTGCTAGAGAAATGATGACCTAACGCTTTTGGAAGAAAACCAAAATGCTTAAAAAATATATCACTGTACACTACGTGGGTTAAGATTTGATTATTTTAAAATAAATGCTCATGCTTATGTATATTTTATTATTTAAAGAGCTTTTCCTAATCCATAATTTCTTTTTTTTACTAACGTATATAAATTTTTTAAATTTACCTATTTGGTCAGGAGGGAGGGACTTACCAATGAATACATTCACCAGAGTTATGCCAATTACCACTGGAACCCCAGTCAACAAAATGTAGAATTTCTGTTAAAGTTAAAAATAAAGTTTTCACATAACCATTTGCGAACTCTTTCCCCACCCTAAAATTATCCTTATTACATGATTTCCTTATACTTCTTGTAAAATAAACTTGCCAAACTGGACATACAGCATCAAGTGACTTCTGTGATTTTATTTTGCTCTAGTTTTTAGATGCCTACATTTAACACCAAAAATTAAAGAAGAAAGGATATATTGTGTAAGTATAACACAATATATCTAAGTGATTTTTTTCATTTTTTGGTTAAAGCACTGTAATGAAAATTAGAAAATTTTGTATTAAGAAGAAAAATGTATACAGAATTGTATACCTGAAACCTATATAATTTTATTAACCAATGCCACCCCAATAAAATCAATAAAAAGAAAAGAAGTGTAAAAACATCAGGGTGATTTTAACCACTATATAAAGTCTGAGCTGGTTCCGACAAGAAAAGTGAGAGTTCAGCCAAGGGGATGTAGAGGGGCCCCTGGAGCAAGAGAAGGCCTGGGGCAGCCCATGCTCAATGTCAGGAACGTTGGCCAAGTCCGGGTGGTCGCCCATCCTCTAAGCCCTGCCTTGGTGTTACAGAACTTTGAGTTAATAATGTATAGTCAACATCCTGCTTCACTCTCTGAATGTTCCTGAACAACACAGAAATAAAAATATTCTATCTCATAACAGAGTTCCTTATTTAAAGAAACACTTCCATTAGTTCTTTGGTAACTTAAAGAATATTTTAGTAATACAAATAATTATTACCAAGTAAATGTTTCCAAAATTTGGGGAACACAGATTATTTTTCAAAAACCCATACTCTACGATGAAAGGAACGGCTCAATTTTTACCTCCAATAAGCTTAAATCATTTTTTGAAGGAAAAAAGTTAACTAACTTAAAAAGAAATCCAGTAACAAATCAGACTTTACTGCCTATCTCAATACCTTTAATTCACAAGTGTGACTTTACAAAATGAAAGATGTTTTTAAAATAGGTAAGAATGTTCTTCCTATTTATATTAAAAGTTCAGTTCAACAAAAAAATTTAACTCACCAGTAAATTCAAAAACCGCTTGTCATAGAATCTAGAAGGTTTGATAACAAACAGTCTTTTCCCATGGTCTCCACTGTGTCTCACAGGAGCTGGAAATATTATACAAGTTTTAAATCAGTATACAAGTTTAATACAAGTTTCATATCGGTATACTGTTATTTTCGGAGATAAAGTCAGATTATAAGAAAATATATATGCATAATGTTTAATATAAATTAAGATTAAAAATGCATGCTTCGTTAAGTATTAAAGGCATGGCAGATAGGCTATCTTTAAACAGAAATTGATGCACTGTTCTAAACTACACCTTTTCTCATGTTTATTCAATGTTAAAGAAATATCTAAAGAACTTCCGCCAAGACAGAGGCATAGGTGGAGACGCCTTGCTTTCTCACACAACCAAGTTTAGAGTCAACTAAATATTAGCAACAGAAAACACAGCCAGAACACAGAAAATTGAACTTTTCGGAAGTCTGTTAACAAATTCTTCAACCTGACTGGTAAGAGGGGCGAAACCAGCAGCTGGCGGAGCAGGATAGCACAGGAAGACTTGGTCAGACGGACTCAGGTGCACAGAATCCAGGCGCAGGGTTGGACCTGGTGGGCAACTCAGCAAGCGACCACGGGGAAACAGCAAGGGAGCAGGGCTGCGGGTTGACTGTGGTCGCGGATAGACAAGTGAGGGAGTGGGCGATTGGATAGGACCCAGTGGGGTCCCCGTGGCGTGGCAGCGGAGGGCGCCGCCATTTCCCTGCTCTGACCCCGCCTCCACATACAGCATCATAACCCAGCGACTCTGAGTGGCCCGGCCCAGGTGAACCACGTAAGGCTCTGTTCCTCACCCAGCTGCATGAAACAGCAGAGGGGGTCGCCATTTACCCCGCTCTGACCACGCCCCCACATACAGCATCACAACCCAGAGACCTGGGAGTCCAAGGCTCCGCTCCTCATACTTAACGGGTGCAAACAGACCAAAAATGGCTCAAGAAGATCTCAAAGTCCCAGAGCCTATAAATCTAAGTGATGAAGAAATAGCAAAACTCTCAGATGCACAGTTTAAAACACTGGTGATCAGGATGCTCACAGAACTGGTTGATTATAGCCACAAATTAGAGAAACATATGAAGGCGAAACTAATTGAAATGAATGGAATTGCACAGGACACCAATAGCAATGAAAAGGAAATGGACTCAGATCAATGGAGTGGACCAGAAGAAAGCAAATAATGGCCAAACAGAAAAGAGTGAAGAAGCAAGAATTTTAAAAAATGAGGAGAGTCTTAGGAACCTCCAGGACATCTTTAAACACTCCAACATATGAATTATAGGGGTACCAGAAAGGGGAAAGGAACAGCCACCAGTGGAAAACTTATTTGAACAAATAATAAAGGAGAATTTCCCCAATCTGGAAAAGGAAATAGACTTCCAGGAAATCCAGGAAGCTCAGAAAGTCCCAAAGAAGTTGGACCCAACAAGAAACACACCAAGGCACATCATCATTACATTAGCCAAGATTAAAGTGAAGGAGAGAATCCTAGAAGCAGCAAGAGATAAGGGGACAGTCACCTACAAAGGAGTTCCCCTCAGACTGTCAGTGGATTTCTCAAAAGAGACCTTACAGGCAAGAAGGGGCTGGAAAGAGGTATTCCAAGTCATGAAATCCAAAGACCTACAACCAAGATTGCTCTATCCAGCAAAACTTTCATTTAGAATGGAAGGACAGATAAAGTGCTTCTCAGATAAGATCAAATTCAAGGAGTTCATCATCACCAAGTCTATACCATAAGAAATGTTAAAGGGACTTACCTAAGAAAAAGAAGTTAAAAAAACATGAACAGTGAAAGGACAGCAAACTCACAGTTATTAACAACCATACCTAAAACAAAAGCAAACTAAAAGGACAGCTAGATCAGGAGTGGAAACATAGAAAGGAAGATCTCAAGGAGGGTTAGCAACAAGGGAGTGGGAGGAGAAGGGGGGAGAAGGTACAGAAAATAAGTAGCATAGATGATAGGTAGAAAATAGATGGGGGAATAGCATGGGAAATATAGACTCTAAAGAACTTGAGACACATGGTCATAAACTAAAGGGGGAGGTAATGGTGGGGATGGGGGGTAGATGGAGGGGAATGAAGGGGGGAATAGAACAACTGTAATGGCAAAATCAATAAAAAATAATAAAAAAAGAAATATCTAAATAATTGTTTGAATTTGTTTCAATGGCAAGGTCAGAAACTCTTGGTGGCTGCTTTGTTTACCATCTGCAATAAATATTTGCTAATGCTGCAAAAGAAATACATTTAAATTATGCCATTCCAAATGAGGCAAGAAACGCTAGAACTTGCTACAAAATAGATAATGGGTATGAGCACTGGGGGCTGGTGGTGGGGTTGCCGTGGGGGGGAGTGCTTTGTAAGGAAAGGCACATTATAAGCTGAGACAAGTAGCAAGTTAAGTGAATTCAAAATGGGTAATTGAGTGATTACACCCAAAAAGTACCTATAACTTAATGCAGTAAGCTGCAAGAGTCAACTCCATAGCCCTGTGGCATCGAGGCTTCTTGAATGGCCTGCAAGATGGTACTCCTGGCAAGATAACGGTTACTGCTACAAGAGAAGCTACTACACTGATGAGGAAATAGGGTCCCCCAAAAGTTTTCATACACATTTACAAAAGGCTGAATCTAAAATGGTTAAATGTAAGTGGAAAGTTCTGCCTGGACCCCCCCCCAAAGGTTTAGTGGCTCACAAACTTAAAGAACGAACCATCGGTATACTGTGGTTACCAAAAAAAAAAAACCAAAACAACAGGTCATTTGATCTTAATCGGATGTATTAGAAGTACAAGATCAAAAGAGGAGGTGCCCCTCCCCACCCCCGAATCTCCAGAAGTGTGTCTGTCCCAGAGTGCAAAGCTTTAGAGGCACAACCTGGGGCATGCCCCTACGTAACCAGGATGGAAAACCACATGGGGACTGACATACTGAAAGGAAAGACTGAAGCTGACTGGTCTACAAGACAGAAGTCTGGTGAGAGACCAGATGAGAGTCCTTAAGGAGCTGCAGAGCTGTCCCAGGACAAAGGGCATACACTATTGTGTTGAGCTGAAGGGAAGAACTACGTGTGCAAGAGCTGAAGGGAAGGATCAATGTGTGAAAGAGTAATTTATAATTTAGAGCTTAATACAAGGAAGAAGTTGCTAACAATTTCAGTGGCTGAAAATAAAACTGGACCAACCCCCCAAGTCTTCATTAGGTAGTATCATAATTGAATTCAAGTATCAATAAGGGGATGTTAACAAACAGTAGCATACCACAGGGGGTTGGCCTAGAGGATTTCTAATATCCTTTTCCTCAAAGAATCTGAATACATGGCCTATCTTGCAATAAGAAGGCATAGCATACCAACTCAGCAATCTCAATGGCTTCCTTCCAATTCCAAGAACTCTTTTTGGACTTATTTTCCCCTTTGCCTAGAAGCTTTCCCCCAGGATCTTTGAATGGCTGCCTCCACATATCTTTCAAGGCTAAGTTAAATGTCACCTACTCAAAGGGGTCTTCTCTGACTACATCATCCAAAGCAGGCCTGCCACTTACTCTCCTTAATACCACCTGGGTACAGGCATTCCTCATTTCACTGTGCTTTTGCACTCACAGACCCTCCGCCAGTGAAGAGATTACGACTTGCTTTATTGAGATACCCACTTTATTGCAGTGGTCTGGAATTGAACCCACAGTATCTGTGAGGTATACCTGTATTTCTTTTAGAACAATGAGACCTAAGCATAATTATTAAAGTCTATCAGGTCAGCTACTGTCTTATTCAGTGTTGTATCTCCGGTACCCTTTAGTGTCTGCCACATGGTAGGCACTCTGTAAATACTGCTGAATTTCCATTTCCTAAGTAAATTAAATGTTGGGAAGGTATCTTCCCCCAGTCCCTGAAAGTAAATCTACTCAGAAGAGAAAGTATACTTCCAAGTTTCCCTTTCATTCGGATACCTATGTGCATGTATGCCACACACAGAGAAAGATAAAAATTAAACGATGTGGGTTTAGAGAAAACTGATTAGGAATGACACTAAAAATACACATGGAGAATGAAACAAACAAAAAACTATGGAAGACTAGCTGCATTCTAGCAATAACAATGCGGTTATTAATAACTGCTTGCTTTTTTACATATAATTATCCTATTAAACAATTATTCATGACATTAAATGTGCCAGAAAACTCATTACCATTTACTCTTCTAAAGTATATTGCATAGCACTAAACTATTTCCAAATATTCTGATCCTTCGTGACTTTTTCATGTATTAGGGCCATGTGCTTACAATAAAAAAAATATATTAGCCCTGGCTGGTATAGCTCAGTGATTGAGCATGGGCCTGTGAAGCCAAGGGTCACTGGTTCGATTCCCAGTCAGGGCACATGCTTGGGTTGCCAGCCAGGTCCCTAGTGGGGGACACATGAGAGGCAACCACACATTGTTTTCTCTCCCTCTCTTTCTCCCCTTCCCCTCTCTCTAAAAATAAATAAATAAAATCTTAAAAAATAAAAAAAAATTAGGGTGAGCACTGCTTACACACAGGTGACTGCCAGGACCTCTGCAACCCAGACCCCCTGACATGAAAACAGGCATCTTCCACCACTTGACAAAGTAGGAAATTTTTCAAATATTCATTAATTATGTGCAACTAGGTTTCAATAACAATTTTTTAAAATGCAAATAACCTTGGGAAAGTTCATGTTTTTGACAACTGTGGTCTTTGTGAGGATCAGATAAGACACTGTAGGATTTTCTTCATGCTTCTAAGACAATAAACAAAAAGGTCATTTCCTTTCCCTCACTCTAGTCAAACTATTCCCAGTTAATGGCACCACCAACTCAATTGGCCAGATTAAAAATCTCATTCCCCTTCCTTGCACCTATCTCTCACTCACGAGCTGCCAAGGCCTCTGATTTTAAGACTCAGACTTCCATTTCTGTACATGCTGTCTTTACCACAATGGCTTAAGTAATGAACATCTCGTAGAAGCCATCCAATATGCAGAAGCATCTTCCTAAAACACACTACTGATGTTGCTCTTTTGCTGAAATACTCTCTGCTGACTACAAAATAGTTTAGGTACTTTTGCTTTATATTCAATTTCTTCCCCTCACCATTTAGTCCTAACTTCCCTTTTAAAAATTACTTTATTTTTTCAATTATAGTCTATACTCAATACCATTAGTTTCAGAGGTAGAACACAGTGGCCAAAAAATCGTGTACTTTACAGTGGTCCCCCGATGCTTCCAGTACCCACCTGGGCCCACACATAGTTAGTATGTTACTGACTATATTCCTTATGCTCTAATCCACATCTCTGTGACTATTTTCCAACTTCCTTTTTTTAGCCATATTATCTCTCAACAGCTACATTTCCCAAGAGACCCATATTGACATACCAGAAAACACATGTTACTTTTGTTTGTACCTGTTAAAACTACCCCAGAATCCAGTTAAAATGCCCCATCTTCCAAGTCTGAATTAACTCCACACCACTTGATTACATAGTAATTTTAATACTGTTCTGCTTTTTAAAACCAAAATGTGTACACTTAAAAGAAAAAAAAATATGTGCATGTCAGTCTTTAACATTAAAGTTCACTGCAAGGGAAAAATTTAAGCTCATTTTTTTAATCTCTTGCTATTTGACTTTCAATACATACTCTAATTAAATCGAGAAAATACTTTAATCTGCTTGTTTTCTCAAAAAGGTTTCACTGAGAGTACATAAAGATAAGACAGTTTACAGATAACAAAGGTAACAAAATGAGTCTTAAACATGATAGTACATGTTTAAGAAAGATGTAGTCACGGGACCATGTAAAAGGCTAACTAGTCAGTACACAACTACTTTATAAGGTAGGTTAAAATTATCACCCCTCCTTTTATCTTACAGTTCTTAGGAAACACAATCATTTCACAATGAAATTTCTTCTAGAAATACACAAAATTATGCAGAGATATATTTCAGGGCTCTAAATACTGATCAATAAGATTTGTTTTATTTTATTTCCCTGTCAACAGAGTAATAAACACCTTTTTTTAAGAGGTGGGAAAAAGGCCCTGGCTAGTGTAGCTCAGTGGATTGAGCACAGGCCTGCGAACCAGACAATCACGGTTTGATTCCCAGTCAGGGCACATGCCTAGGTTGCAGACCAGTTCCCTGCAGGCCAGTTCCCAGCAGGGGACCCACGAAAGGCAACCATACATTGATGTTTCTCTCCCTCTCTCCTTCCCTTCCCCTCTAAAGATAAATAAATAAAAGATTAAAAAAAAAAGAGGTGGGAAAAAAAAGTTTCACGCAATTAAGTGCCTTCCACAATTTGATGGCCCAAGGCTACACAGCTATTCAACTGTGGAGTGGGATTTAAAAAAATTTTTTTTATTTAATTATTTTTCAAGTACAGTTTTCTGTCTTTTATTACCACCCCCCCTTCCCACCTCCCTCCCATTTCCACCCCTCTTAGTTGTCCAGGTGTCCTTTATACTAGTTCCTGTAAATCCTTCCCCCTTTCCCCCTGAAATTCCTTCCCCTCTCCCCTCTGGTCGCTGTCCTCCTATTCTCTATTTCAGTGTCATTATTTTTATTTTGCTTGCTTGTTTGTTTTGTTGTTTAGCTTCCGGTTAATGGTCAGATCATATGGTATTTGTCTTTCAACGCCTGGCTTATTTCACTGGAGCAGGATTTGAACCTAGGCAATCTAACTCCAAAGGAAACAAAACAAGATAAGGTTCTCTATCTGCTGGAACTCACACTGTGGTAGGGGCAGAAATAAACAGTAATATTATAGATTAAAACCTTTCATTGCACAGTGATGGATAAGGGTTCACATGCAAAATACCTCTGGAAGAAGGTACTCAGCTGAAACACAGTAATACCCAGTACTGCTATGACATCCTTTCCTGCTCCCTATCTCCATCTAGGCAAGATGAAATACTATCCTAGAGTATTTAAAGAGGAAGATAACTGTCATCAGAAATGGCTTACAAAGGGCTTTTTAAAAAAAAAAAAAATCAAGGAATGTTAGCAAAGTAGTTTTTTAACAACTTCAAATTCCAGAAATTTGCTAAATTACTTTCCATCATTTCCAGCAAGTCCCTATCATGAGCCCCTCCGCCTGTCTACAAATTACGGAGCATCGGTGGCCCCTTAAAAACATAACTTCTCACGTTGCGGGATTAGAACCTGGTTCAGAGGTAAAGTACAAAAAACCTGGTACCCGAAACATAAGTCTCAGTTCTGTCCCTTTCCGACCTCAGCTTCATCCGCAAATTAGCACCAATTAGGATGGCAGAATAGTTGAGTGCTTCACAAATGCCAATAATTTATACGCAATCGACCTGATTATTCCAGGAAAACCTCCAATATCCTCACATAGCACGTCCTTCATCCCTCATCTCAACCCCAAGCCCACGATTTCTCCCGGCTCCCTCCGAATCCCACCAAGGTCACCCGGGATGAGTCCTCTATCTCACCCCACTTCCCCTGAGAGCGCCTTCTCCCAAAGCCAGCACCCACCAATAGTCTTCGGAAAGCCACGCGTAAGGAAGCCCCCGAACACAAGTGGAATGCCAAGGCGGCGGCCAGAGAGAGCGGCCACCGCAGTGACCGAAGCCCGCCGCAGCAAGCTCATAGCCGCCATGGCTACTACGGGCAATAGGAAGACGTGGGGGGAGTAACGGGAGCCTAGACGGCCCAGTTATCAGCGAGGGCAAAGGCGTAAGGAGGCCATGTTGAGTAAGGGCAAAGGCAGTTTCGGTTCTCTGTTTCCGGTCGGAGCGAGGCACCAGAAGTGATTCCATTAGTGGCGGAAACGCGGTTTGCTTAGGCGAAAAAAATGGCTGCAGCCAGTTTAGGTATTCTTTGCAGAAAAGCATCCGCCCTCCTAAAGACTTCCAGGTCGTTAATAAGTTCTCAGGCCCCGGCGGGCACAAGGTAAGTGATGTGAGCAGTAGGTTTGTTCACCTCTCCAATCTTGGATCTTGTTTGGTTGCAGAGATGATGAGAAGAAATCAAAGATGGAAAGGCTCCCGGGTTGGCTTGAGCACGAACCCAACTCTATGAGGAATGAGTGACTTTATACAAGTCGCCCACCAGCGACATTTCCGCCCTAGCATCATTTTGTTGCCACCTACTGTGACCAGTCAGTAGTTGAAGTTTGTAGGTGCCCAGAATTTGTTGAATTCAAGCTAAAGTTACGGAAGTATCCCGTTTGGCTGGGTGAGTTGGGAAAAACTTAAGTGAAGAGCTTTTGGCCGTGGAGCTGAAGGCTGTGACGGGCTTGGATGCATGAAAAATAGGGGGCCTTTCTGGACTATGTCACAAGGAAATTGTTCGGTAAATGCTGAGTGAATAAATGAAATTAGCCAAATAAATGAAAAGTTGCACTTGTAGGTGGGAGAAAGGAACATACTACACATGGTGTTCATTATTTCTGGAAAGTCAGCTTATCATTTTTTACTTTAGGTGGGTGGTTTCCTCCCTTTCATTGGCTTTTGTCTATGAAGATGTGAATTTTATAAGCAATTGGGTATGTCTGCTATTTTTTTACCCTTAAAAGGGAGTAATGTTTGTGCTCTTAAATCTAGCACCGTTATTGAGCTTCTATTATGTTACAATATTATTACATACAGTAACTTCAGGGATAAGCAATATTTTTTTTCATTTTGCAGAGGCTTAGAGGTGGTAACTTGATCACAAGGTGGCAGACTTGAATCAGTTGTTATCTAGTTATCTTTTTTCCTTAAACATTAATTACAGATTTTATTATTATTATAAAATATGTTTATTTGCAGACACTTTGGAAAATAGGGGAAAGTATTTTGAAAAAGAAAGTAAAAGGACCTGACTGCTGTGATTCAGTGGATTGTGTGCCTGTCTGTGAACTGAAGAGTCGCCTGTTCAGTTCCCAGACAGGTCACTTGCCTGGGTTGTGGGCCAGGTCCCCAGTGGAGGTGCATGAGAGGCAACCACACTTTAATGTTTCTCTCCTTCTCTTTCTCCCTCCCATTCTAAAAAATAAATAAAGTCTTTTTTAAAGAGTAAAAAATAAATCAACTTAAAAAAAGTAAAAATCATTAAGACAGAAAACTGTACTTGAACAATTAAAATAAATAAATTTTAAAAAGTAAAAACAACTATAATTCCACTAAGAGATAAACAGATTTCCCTTCCTTTTTAACTTTGCATATACACACATACCTGTAATTTTGATTGATTGACTGATTTTAGAGAGAGGAAGGGAGACAGAGAGAGGGAGAAACATTGATTTGTCGTTCTGTGAATTTATGCATTCATTGGTTGATTCTTGTATATGCACTGACCAGGGCTCAAACCTGCCCAGAACCATGGCAGATCAGGTTGACGTTCTAACCAACTGAGCTACCTGGCCAAAGTCCACATAAATGTGATTTTGAAATAAAATCAGGACTATATTTACATGATGTAGTGCTACTCATTTTCCCAACTTTTTGTTTTTAAAAACTTAAGACCAACAGAAAAGTTGTAAAAGTAGTACCAAGAATAACCATATACTCTTTATATTAATCAATTCTTAGCATTTTGGTACATTTTTCTTTATCTGCTCGTATCCACATGTTTTGTTTTCTGAACAGTTTTTTTAAATCCTCACCTGAGGATATGTATATTGATTTTAGAGAGAGAGGAAGGGGGGGGACAGAAACATCAATATGCAAGAGAAACATTAGTTAGTTGCTTCCAGGGTGCACCCTGACTGGGAATCGAACCACAGTCTAGGTATGTGCCATAACAGAGACTTGAACCCATGACCTTTTAGAGTACCAGATAATGCTCCAACCAACTGAGCCACCCAGCCAGGGCTTTTTCTGAACTCTTTGAGGCTTGTCAGAATTGCAAACATCATAACACTTCAGCATATATCTCCTAAGAACAAGAACGGCATCTTAGCCACAACACTGCAGTGATCACACTGGGGAATTTAACACTGATACACTACTAGTATTACAGTGCTGTTATCTAGCATATAGCTCAAATTCAGATGTCCTCAATTGTCCCGGTCATTTTGTTTTCTTTTTGTTCAGGGTCCAGACAATGATTTTTTGCATTTGTTGTCTTGTTTGTTTAGTTTTTTTAAATCCAGAATCGTTCCTTTATTTCTTTCATGACAGTGATGTTTTTTATAAGATCAGCCTGTGCAGAATATCCCTCCATTTGGGTTTGTCTGAATGTTTCTTCATGATTAGTTTTAGGTTAAATTTTTTTGGTAGGAATACAACAACACTTGTGACACACTTCCTTATTGTATTTTAAATTATTTATCTAGGTCATTAAATATTCTTTAAGAACATGATTTTAAAATTACTTCATACTATATTGTCATACAGAGACACAATAATTTTTAAAACCATGATTGCACATTTACATTATCAACTTCCTTATGTATGAGCATAATGAGCATAATACTTAATAGATATTTAAATTTATCAGTTTTCATCTATAACTTATTTGGTTGAAATTTCTAGATGTGGACTTAATGGGTCAAGGGAAGAAGCATTGAAGCCTCTCAGACATCTTGCAAAATTAACCTTCAGAGTATTTGACCTTCTCATGCACCCACTAGCAGTTTATGAAGGAACTACAAATGTTACCTTAAAATATAATTATATAAATACATTACCTCTGAGATTATAAGGAAGCAATATCTATAATGTAGTATTTTAAATAATTTCTAAAGTATTTTATAAGTTTATTGTTTCTGGTACAAAAACCATGAGTAAGTTTTTTAACATTGTAGGTGAGGAAATGATTCCATTTATTGCTTATAAAATTCAGATGTAAAACTTGAACTTGTTTGTGTACTGTTGCAGGTTTTCTCTTAATTTATTGCTTAAGAATACACCGAATGTCACACCTTTACACCACTGTAGAAAACTTCATACCACGTTGTCAAGGAAAGGACTAGAAGAATTTTTTGATGACCCAAAGAACTGGGGGGAAGAGAAAGTAAAGTCTGGTGAGATATTTGGGTTGATTGGTATTAAATATGCCTATTGAACCATCCATTGTCTTGGGATTATTTATCCAATTTAGGAGTTATTTGGGTGTTTCCATTTTCAGTTTCCTTTGGGAATGTCTATTAGTGAAAATTAAAAGGACAATATAACAGACTTAATTGTTCCTTGGCAGCTTGGCAAAAGGTTTAAAACAGAAGTAGGGTGAATTTTTTTAGTAAGTTGATGTTTGGGCTTTATTTTTTAGAGACAGTTGAAAATTAATTTATAATGATACAAAGTATTTTGACATTAGGTTGCGAAAATACATTCTGTAGTTATTCTAACATTTTTTAATGCTGTTGCCAGTCTCATTACTTACATTTTCAGGTGTGTTATCTAATTTAATCCCAGTTGTATTTTACACTGTAATATAATAAAGCTATTAAGTATTTTACAGATAAGGAAACTGGTTTAGAGAGGTAAGTAATTTGGCAAAGGGCACATAGATGGAAAACTATTTCATGTTATGAATTTATCACTTTAATAGGAGCTGCATGGACCTGTCAGCAATTAAGAAACAAAAGTAATGAAGATTTGCATAAACTTTGGTAAGTATACAGAGTACATGAATATCTAGGTGTTTGAAGCAGTTACAGTATAACAGTGAGATATAAACTTCATGTGATGTAAGAAATTGAGTAAAGTGGTTTGTCTCATAGAACTGTGGATGTTGTATAAGACCATTACAGATTTTATAAATACGACAGGTTAAATTATATTAAGAAAAATGTACCAGAGTTCTCAAGTATAGTTGGGGGTTTAGAAGTTTTACTATAATTGCTACCAGTTGTACTCCACCTATGTACTAACAATTTCAGAAAACTAATGACATGGAGAAGAGTTGATCACATTTAGGCCTTCCTCCTTTTACTACATTTTGGTATGAAATCTTTAGCTTATTTGCTTCGGGGAGCGTGTTGGAGGATGCATTTAATTGGGAGTTTAAGTAGATTATCTGACAGTTTCAGTAGATTATCTGACAGTTTCTTCTGATGAATTAGAGTTGAAAAGATTTAAGGCAGGGCTTTATTTTTAATTGACTACATATGTGTATTTTTTATTGAGGCAGAATTGATGTACTATTATATGAGTTTCAGGTATAAATGTACTGATTTAATATTTGTATACCTTGCAAAATGCTCATCATAGTAAGTTCAGGTAACATCCACCACCATACGTAGTTAGAATTTTTTTTTCCCCCTGTGATGAGAACTTTCGGTATCTGCTCTTTTAGCTACTTTCACATACGCAGTACAGGGTGATTCACTGTAGTCACTGTGCTGTACATTACATCCCTGTGACTTGCTGATTTTAAAACTGGAAATATGTGCATTTTCACCTTCACACATTTTGCTCCCCACTCTCAACATTAACTGACAATATTTAGCCAAAGATACATCTTGTTTGGACTCTACTATGGTTTTTAAATTGGGTATTTCACACAAAAATAAATATTCCTGGCTCCTCTTTAATAATCAGACCTCTGATCTGGCAGTACTGGACTCACATTCCCATGGCTGGCCGGTCTGTGTAGCCACTGCCTGATCTAGATGGATCAGTGCACACCACTCCTTGCCCATCCTGATCTAGATGGATCAGTGCACACCACTCCTTGCCCATCCTGTTGTCTTTTACCAAGCCCAC